CTCCCAGTTCAAGGCCTTGCCACAGGACTTGCAGTTGGTATTGCCTCCAGTCTCTCTCTGGCACTTGCCAGACTCTGAGCTGCACTACAAACTCCATGCGAAGTCCAGGACTATGTGCAGGAGCAGGGTGGGTAGACAGGGCCAGGAGCCTGTCTTCCCCGGGTTCACCCTCTCTTCACCATGGAAACAGTCCCATAGAAGGCTGAGAATTACCTAGGAGGGGAATTTTAATTGCAGCCCATAATCATTCTCTTCTGCTAATTGCTTCCAACTTCAATCACCCCTCAACCCAAGGGACTGTGAGATGCTCATAGAATCATCTTCTCAGGTCAGTGGTAGGGTCACAGGGTCAGAATGTTTGCCTGGTCAGGGCAGAGGCAGCATCTCAGGAGCTGACTCTTGTGCCAGACATATGGTGGTCGGACTTAAATAAGCCAGACCAGGCTTGGGGCCACCATTCCATTTCCACTGCAGAAAGGCAGTGGAGGAGCCCCTGGTAAGCCCTGGGTCCCAAGAGCCCAGAGAGGCCAGCTAGGCCCCTGAGTCTCCACTGTGACCCGAGCCAGCAGAGTGGGTTGGGAAAGGCTTCTTCCTTAGAAGGAAGTGGACATTTGACCTTCTTGGACCTTTCCTTCCTTCCGGGAACTTAGGGAATTTGCATACCACTTACCTTGGCAAGTGTTTGCTGGACCATGTGAGGTCAAAGGAAGGAAGATAGAGCCTGGAGGATAGGGAGCATGGAGCCCCCCCCAACCCTGTCCCAATCCCCAGTGTGAATCACTCTGCTTTGCTGTCAGACCCAGGGAGGCCAAGAGCTCCTGGGGTGGGGTGGTGTTAGGAGCTGCTGAGTAACAAGTGTGTCACAAGATGGCAGTGAAGTCTGGTCTGGCTCCTGACCAGAGCAAACCCTTTAACTTCTCTGTTCCCTTCCTTCCAGGATTTGGTGGCTTCCTCTCTTCTCCCTGGGGGACTTGATTTAGTAATTGGGAAGAAGGGGACTTTCTGTTGGAGAGGCTTTTAGGAGCAAGACAGACAGGAGGGAGAAGGACTTTTGTCCAGACTCCTCAGCCAGAGTTTAGAGGTCACAGCTGCCAGCGGGACAAGCTGTTTGTGGGAGGTGCCTAGAGACTAAGATAGCCTAGTTGTTTTTGGGCAGGGGACACTGGGGAAGATGGTGCTCTTCCTGAGCCTTGGGGGAAGGGAGACCCTTGAAGCCTCCTCTGCAGGACTGAAGAACACAACAGATAGCTAGTGTCCCTGGGCATGCACAGCGCTGTGCACACAGCAGAGGGCTGCTTTCAAGGGGCCTCAGCTGGAGGAGCTGCAGGGCCAGGAAAGGGGGAACGGTTTTCTTTTTCAACAGCATGACCTGTTGAAGTTATATGCTCACCGGATCTGGCAGCCTCTGGTCCCAGACAAGCACACTATAATTCTGAGGGTCTAACATATGTCCAGTCACAGGTAAGGTTTTAAATACTTGTTCCATGTCAACCATGGAGATATTACTCACATTTTTCTAGAAAAGGAGCTCATCTGAAGCAAGGAAGAAGCAGAAGTAGCAGAGACCTTTCTCTTAGGACACTGGAGGCTTGACTGGAGGCCAGTGCCTCTCCTGTGTGGGCGAGCCATTGGCCACTTTTGAATCCCCAGATTGTACATCAGGGCTCTCACTAAGCGGCCTTCTTCAGAAGTAGAAGTGGGGTAGCCCTACCTGCTGGGCCTACCTGCCCTGCCTGGGGTGTTCTGGTTGGAACTTTCTCTACAGGTGTGGAAGCTCTTGGAGTCCAGGGGCAGCTGGGAGTTGGTGCAAGCTTGCCGTCTTGTCAGCGTCCCAGGGAGACACAGGGCACGGAGGAGTCTGCTGCACATCTTAAATCAAAGTCTGGGCCATCAATCTCCCATTACAGACTGAAATAACAAGGTGGGTGGCACAGACTGCCACCACATGGACACTTGAAAGAGATAAAAATGCCAGGATCCCAAGCCCCAAATCCCTTAACAAATTTCCAATTGCCTCTGAGACCCAAATTCTGGGGCATAAGAGGAAATGACTTACTTTGAATTCAAGGAAGCACCAATGTCTGTGAGCTGCTGAAAGTTCCACCCTCAGCCCACCTGGCCTCCTGTTCCTTCCACCGATACTTTCCTTAAGCCAGGCTGGCCCAGTGTGGCCCCCAGTGGGAGACCCTGACTTGGCTACTTACTGTGTGTCCAACCGGTTCTGGAACCTGGGCAAGTCACATGACTCCTTCGGCTCCCAGTTTGTTCATCTGTGAAGTGGGAATGGAGATTCCTATCAATCACAGGCTGCTTTTGAGGATGCATTGCTAACAGCCTCCTTACCTGCTGTCAGAGGCAGGCTGGCTGCTGTTTTCTTCTTTGTCTTGTATGCCCTGTCCATCCCACAAAGTCTAGTTCCTGGAGTTTCCTCCTCCTCCAGGAAGCCCTTCCTGAATGAGCCTCCAAGTCTTTATCTTCCACTGACTTTCTAAGCCACTTTTTTTAAAAAAAAAAAATCACATTTTCGCTGGACAGTGGTGGTGCACGCCTTTAATCCTAGCACTTGGGAGGCAGAGGTAGGCGAATCTCTGAGTTTGAGGCCAGCCTGGTCTACAAGAGCTAGTTTCAGGACAGACTCCAAAGCTACAGAGAAACCCTGTCTCGAAAAATAAAATCACATTTTCAGTGGCCATTCTTTCTAAAGTTTTTTTTTTAATAGAACATTTGTTTTAAAGTAGTGTATGTGTCTTGCACATGAGTGTAGATGTGCAATGGAGGCCAGAAGAAGGCATTGGATCCCCTGGAGCTGGAGCCACAGGCAGTTGCAAACTGCCTGACCAGGGTGCTGAGAACTGAAGGGTCCTCTGCAAGAACAGTGCGCTCTCTTAATGGCTGAGCCACGTCCCCAGCCCCCAGTGACTATTTGCTGTTTCCCTGAGCACAAAGCCTTTGCTTCTGTTTCTCCACACCCCTTTCTCGATAACGCATTCCGCAACTCCTTGCACACTGAATGCACCTAAGAAACATTTATTTTCTTTCTCTGGGGAGATTCTGGGCGACTGGAAGCAGACTCCTGGGGCTCATGATTCTGTTTTTAGGGTTTGAATATATTTTCCGCAATTCTACTCCATCTTTACACTTCAGCCACACCCTCCTCTCCACCTGAAATACAGCAGAGTTTGAAAACCGGTTGCTGGGATCTGAGAATGGGAGATAGAGGAGGCTCTAAGCCCTGGCTATTTCTGTATAGATGAAACAGGCAGGGATTAACCTCTGTGGAATAGAAGGTTCTGGTTCATCCAGGGTGTTGGAAGCCAGGCTTTCTATGAAGAAACAGGTCTGAAGCCTGGAGTGCTCCTAAAGCTCAGCTCCCTCCCCTTGGGCATTTCAGAACTCACCGGTGTGGTGAGTAGGCAACTGAGCCCATGTGGCCACCTTGATGCTGGGGCTGAGCCCTGGCTGCAGTGGGGTGAGCCCAATAGTGCTCCTGGACACAGCTGTCGCTGGCACTGCCCCTTCAGGGCATGGCATTGGAAGGGTGATGGTAGCTGCTTTCTCTAAGGAGGTTGTGGGGAACAGGAATTTATAATTAGAAACTGGCAACTGTAACCAAGACAAATGGTCATTTGGCTTACTGAGACCCTTGGGGCAAGGGCCTTCATGTCATCCGGTTCCATGTGGAGAATTTTCTGAAGATATGCTTGTTGGAGTCTCCCAGAGAATCCAAGATATTTTTTATAAACAAATATCTATTTCACAACCAGTGACTAATGGGGTTAAACACTGTGTGTTTTAGATCTATTTTACTATGTGGTGTTCACAGTAGCTCTAGGAGATAAAAATTGGTTTCTCCATTTTCCCCATGAGGAAACTGAGGCACGAGAGGCTGCATCATGCAGTCACACAGCAAACCCACAAAGGCCCCTGTGCCCTGGGAAGCTCCAGGTGCACAGCCTCCTTGTAAAACCCCTGTCCTCTGTAGTCATGTCAGGGGTGACAGATGAACAGACTGTGGAAATGAGAGATTCCAGGAGAAGTCAGCCATGGTGGAGACGGAAGTTCACAGCTCTGCCATTGCCTCGGGACAATCTTTTGGCCAGAGCCCTCCAAACTGCCCATCTTCAGCGGGGGAAAACAGGCCAAGGTGGAGCCTGGGTTGTGTACGTGGGGAAACTTTGGTGGTGCATGAGCAGATGTGGACTTCCCTTCCTCTGCCATTTTACCTTGGTTTTCCTTCAGGCCACCCTGAGAGTTCAGGGGTCTGTTTGTCTTGTCACCAGCTACTGCTTGGTGCTTATGACAAGCAGGAGATGCTCAGTCGATATTTGTGTGGAGAATGAAGGACCACGGTGATGGCAGAGTTCTGTTACTGCCCTGGTTCCACAAGGACAGCTTGTGGTCTGATTCCACCAGGGAGGCCAGCCAGATGTAGCCTCGTAGGAAGGGACTGAGCAAGGTGGAAGGCTTCCTCCAGCAAAGGAACTCTAGTGTCCCACAAAACCTCCAGTTCCTCGGGAGCCCGGCTGGGAAGGGAAGACAGGCGCTGTGGCAATTGAAACATTTCTCTACTTGGGAGTGGCAGAAGCACCACCAAGGTGGGCAGGGGTATGTTGTGGAATATGGACTCCAGTTTTGGGTTCTAGAGTCTGCTCTGATTGCACTGGCGGAAGAAAGGATAGTGATTGGGATACAGGGTCAGGATGTGGCTGTAGACAGATTTGGAGATACAGAGGTTTTGGCCGCAAAAATAGAGCATGTGCCTTCCCTCGTGGGGGCGCGGGAGAGAGGGCAGGCCAAGAGGTACCGGTACTCCTCCGCTTGACATCCTCAACTCGGGGTGGGCGTGGCTGCCCGGACCGCCGGTGGGTTGGCCCCGAAGCCCTGCTATAGGGGGTGTCCCAGCGCTGGAGGCCTAGGCTGCGCTGGGGGCGGGAGGGCGCGCGCTGACGGGGTCGGGCGGAGAGGGGGCGGGCGGCGCTGGGGGTGGAGCCGGGACCGCAGCGCCTGCCGCCCGCTAGCTCCGGGTTGAAGAAGAGGCTGCCGCTTTAGGCTCGGGGACGCGGGAGGGTGCTTTGCGAGGCTCCGGCCTCCGGGCTGCTACTATCCTCCGGGGCCTGGGGCTGCAGTGCTCAGGGTCCGGGTCCCTGATCCTGCGCCCCTCTGGCCAGAGATCGCTCTCTTTCTCCTCCCGGGAGAAGACACTGTGCTGCACCAGTCACCCCAGGCTAGAGCCCCTCCTGGCCATGGAAAGGGGCCGGTGAGGGGACGCGCGGAGGCGGAGGAAAAGGCTCGGGAGGAGGGGGGCAGAGGAGCAGGGCGCGGGAGGAGGAGGAGGATGCCGCCGCCACCGCCACCCGCGGGCTCTCAATGAGCCTGACTCTAGACCAAGGATGGAGCCGGCGCTGGGCGCTGCAGGGGCTCCCAACGTGCCCGCCACCAGGTATGGCCGGGTCCTACGGTCCCCGGGGCAGGCGGGAGTGGACTGCGCCGCAGCAGCCGGGAGGGGCGCGGGCGCGGCGGGAGACGCCCCTAGCTCGGGGCCGGTGTCTCTGGGCGGTGCGCGGAGGCGGTGGTGTGGGGCCGTAGAGTGATAGATGCTGGGAGAGCATGGCTGGACTGGTAGCCCCGGAGCGCAGCGATCGCCCCAGCCCCTCCTTGCCCCCATCTGGCGAGGGCAGCAAACTTGGGCTAAGCCCGGGGCTTCCTTTCTCTTCCCGAACGCTCTCGGGCGTCTGCTCCGGGTTCACCATCTCACAGCCCGACTTGGGGCTGCCAAGGCTGCCAGAAACCCTGAGGTTCCGGTGCCTCCTCTAACTTTCCAAACCAGGTTTACACCCTGAGGCTTCTTGCTTTAGGAGCCTTTAGGAGAGACTAGGTCTGCCTGATGGTGCAGATTCCCCCCTCTCGCCGCATAAATAGCCCTAGCTCCTCTCTGAGTAGAACCGAGTGTGTGTGTGTGTGTGTGTGTGTGTGTGTGTGTGTGTGTGTGTGTGTTGGTCAGTTCCTTTCAGGCTCCAGAGAGGAGGGACACAGTGTTTGACTTTACAGTAACATTCAACTGGGACCCTATCTGGGACCCATGTGTTAAAAGGCTAAGCTATTTGAGGAAGGTAAGATCTCATGGTCCTGCTAGGGGGGCACCTTGGCCTGATTTCAGGGCCTCGCTATGTCACCTCCCCCTACTCCAGGCCTGCCCCCTTTCAGGATTACAATCTTAGTTCTGGCTTCCTGATGGACTTAACAACTGTTTAAACAAGAGGCTCCTGAGCACCAGGGGATCCAGGCCTCCAGGTGCCGGGGATGTTATAGCTGATGGCTGAGAGGTTGAGGCTGGGACAGGGAAGGTGCATGTCCTCTCAGGGGCAGGAATTCAGCCCAAAATCTTGTGGAACTTAGGAGCAGTAGGAACTGAGGATGGTGGTAGGAGGCAGGTATCCTGGCTGGGCAGGGAGCCACTTTGGAAAGCCAAAGATACCAGTAGGTGTAAGAGGCAAATAGACAGGGAGCTCATAGACCAGGGAGCGAGATTGGTTTCCCTGGTTCCTCAGTCCCTTAGGTGGGAGGTGGGGCTGGGCTGTCTCACAAAGACACCTAAGCTGGCAGGCAGTTCCCAGGCTCCAGTCCCCAGTAACCGCCGCACTTCTAGGCATCATGATGACCCTGTTTCTTTTTCAAAGTGCTTCTGCCGTCATGACTCACATGCTGGATTCACCAGGGAGAGATCAAGCTTCCAATCTATTCTATTCCCTGCCCTCTTGGGGCTTTAGGGAGCTGCAGAAGAAAGAAGGGGGTGGATATGCCCTTGGGTCTTGGACCCCTGCAAGAAGCCTGGCCCCTTAAACTTTCATTGCTTGCTGTTGTTGTCCCAGGTCTTGGGTGAGTGGCTCAAGACCAGCTCAGACCACAGTGTCTGTGGGCTGTGCAAGTGAGAGGCCACTGCTGATATCCACCCGGTACTGCTGGGGCTTTGAGCTCATACCCCTTCCCCTTCCCCAGCACCCTGCAGGCCCCTCCCCTCCCTCACCCAGACTCCACATCCTCTTTGCTGAGCATCTGTGGAGCTTTGGACCCTTTGCATTTGAGCACCCTACATTACCCTGCTTCTCTCTACCCGGGCCCCCATGTCAGTTCTGCTCAGAGGAGGATGTAGATCTCTGTGCCCTCTCCCAAGGGCCCTGGCTCCAGAGGAGCTAGGTTGAGGGTGCTAGTATAGGAGTAAGCTAGACTGCACTGGAGGAGAGATCTGTCTTTGTTCCACTGAGTGTGCAGTAGCCTTGGGGGTCAGGTTCTCAGTGAGGTCTGGCTTGTGCCCCCAGGTCCCTCTTGCCCATCTGCTGTGCCCCATCCTTGCACATTGGGAGGCTGAAAGTGTGGTGAGAAGGGAGCATCTGACAGTCATAATCTGGTTCTGAGAAGGTCTCGAAGCCCTGAGTCACTGTATGGTTTCCATGGAAACAGACTTGTTCAGAGGACTCGGTGTAGTGAGGCATTGGGGGAAGGAAGGGAAACATATAGTAAAATCAGGCTCTACAAGTGTGGTGCAGCTGGACCAACTCTCTTTGCTGGGAAGAGAGATGGGTAAACAAGGCCATGCCCACCCCCCCCAGAGGACAGGTTATCTCTCTCCACCCGATAGGATTCTCCCTTGGGGACCACCTCCACGATCTCCTGGTTCAGCTTCCAAGCTTCTGGTGACTACTCAGTGCCTCAGTTCCTTTCTCTGAAAACCGAGGGCCTAATAGGCTCCTGAAGGTCAGGTTCCTTACCGGGGAACACACAGCACCCCAGTGTGTGGGGGGAGTGGCATGGCTACCTATCTGATGTGAAGGGATTCACCTGGCCCCCTCCCCTGTGTGCTGGGCAGTGCTCTGACGCCTGTCTGGGATGGCCTGCTTGAGAAGAGCCTGGCACCCCCGCTGGGGGTCTGGGGGTCAGCCACTCATTTACTCTCATAGAGATTTATTTAGGCGTTTTCAGCCTGGTACTCTATAGCCTGGCTCTTTTTGAGACTCTACCTAGCCAGAAACTTGTGAGAAGAAACCCTCCAAGGCTAGATGGCTTTGCTTCACATCCTAGGGAAGGGTTGCTTGCTGAGCCCCTTGGGGCTAGGACAAAGGAGGTATAGGTAGAAAGGGACCTTATGGCTCAGTCCCCATCCCCCGATCCTGGAGCAGCTGGGCCATATGGTTATGACAATCAGGACTTAGGAGCACAGTCTTTAGGTTGGAGCTGGTAGGGCTGGGAGAGGTTTATTCTAACAGTTCCAGCACCACAGTATTGGGGAGCATGGCCTAGGAAAATTCAGGCTGCCAGTGACACACAAGCAGAATCTCCTCCCCAGACCCTTTCTCATTGTAGCACACCCATGGCTTGAAGGGCCCTCTCAGTATAAGGTGGAAATCTGTCCCCAGCTCCCCGAACCCCTCCGCCCACTCCTACAAGCTATCTCAGCTGCAACGGAGTTAGCTGCTGGCTCTTCTATTTTACAGATGCCAAAAATAAGATTCCTGGGGTTTGCCTGCACAGCAGCCTGGGGGACCGTTCTCCTCCTTCCCTTTAGCTCTCCAAGAAGCTGGGCAACTGCCCTCTGCCCCCACCCCCACCCAGTCTCTGCCAGCGATCTGAGTCTTGCCTTGGGTCTCTCTGGACCACTTTGCTGTCCTCATTGGTGTTCACAACACCTTACAATTTAATATCCTCTGCAAATTTCATTAACGGACTGTTTGCTCCCTCTCTCAGGACCATTAATGAAGATGTTAGATAAGATGTGGCCTGGCACTGGCCGGGCAGCCCTGCCCCCACTCCCAGACTCTGCCTTCCAGGCCTTGTCCCTGGCCTTGCCTCTTCTACTCAGGCCTCTTGGGACATGTCCCCTCCTGCCTTTAGGCTCCATGACAAGAGCTGAGGGCCAAGTCTGTTTGAATTAATTTTGTAAGATTACTCGAGGCGCTGTATCAAATGCTTTGCTAAAAATCAAGATATATTACCCTGCCCGCGTTCCCTTCATCCACCAGTCTTGTAATTCTATCAGGAAAGCTATCAAGTTTGTCAGGCATGATTTGTTCTTTATAAATCCCCATGGTGCTGTGTGGGGGCACAGGGTTCCCGCGATTTCTAAATGTTTAGAGATCCTCGCTTTGTGTTTGTTCCATGATCGGAGCTGGAAGGCTGTGAGCTGGGGACCCAGGGGTGCGGAGGAAGGCAAGGCCCCCACTCTTCTCTCGAGTCTCTGGGATGCCAGAGAGTCTCTTGGGACTTTTGAGTAGGATGGTGCCCCAAACTCAACACTGACGGAGGGGATTCCTGGAGCTATGCTTCAAGGCTTGTGCAGGCTAGAGAAAATGACAGAAGGCTGTGTGTTGCTGGCATTCTGAAGACGGCACTAACTGAGTGATGGCTGCGGACCCATCCCTGTGCTGAGGACGTACTGTGCTCGGTTTGTTTGAGTCCTGTGAATTGGGTGTGCTCTTCTCCTTCTGTGTGCCAGGCTCAGAAAGGGTCAGGCTGCCTGAGGTTGTGGGTCTGGCTTTCACTCTCCAGCATGGACTGTGGAAAGCTTATAGGCAAGTTCAGAGACCAGGGACCCTCCCACACCCCACTGCCACATCTGACTTTTGTGATCCAGCCACCTAAATGTGCTTTCTTTAAAAAGGGAATTACGTATTCTTAGTTATCTTGTGGGTGTACATTTGTACATGTGTGCATGCCACCACGTCTGTATGGAGGTCTGAGAATTTGTGGGCTGTTCTCCTTCTACTACATGGGTCCTGGGGATCAAACCCTGACCAGCAGGCTCGGTGGCAGTCACCTTTACTTGATGAGACATCTCTGGCCCATTATCTAACCTTTCTGAGTCTTACATGTGAAGTGGACACAGCCGTGTCTTCATCCTCAGCTTGCAGGATGTCCCTTGGGGTAATGCGTGGCAGCCACACCATGGTTCTGAACTTTGGGGAATACCCTTGATTCTAGAGGTCTTTGTAGCAGTCAGAGATTACCATTCTGCTTGTTACTTGGGAGAAGTGATGAAGGACACACAAGCATGTGATGTGCTTGGTACCAGATTGGGTGGCACAGTCTAGGAGAAGAGAGAAAGGCTGCCTCTCTGGGCCTTGAGCCTAAGACCTTTATCCAGTTCAGGCAATTTCAGACCTGGTGTTTTCTGCTCTAATGTTTTCTGGCTGCAGAGGACTGTGACATTCCTGGGTCGTAGCTTCTAAGTTATCGCTCCCCCGGAGTCCTGAGGTGGGATGCGGACTGTAACAGCCACATCCAGTTGTGATCATTTTTGTTCTTGTCATTCAGCATGAAAGGGTGAAATAGCTAGATCCACTCATACAGCAGGGAGCCCTCAGGAAGAGCAGTAGGTAGCCCCTGTCCCCAGCAGGGGACACCACCAGAGGGTGGCTGGTGAGGTCATGATTGTCAGGAGCTTATCTG